AAGGGATCGTCGTTTCACACATACTGTACTCTCCAATTGAGAAGTGATAGTCGAAACTTATTTCTTGGTACACAGCGTATTGCGGCTTATGGACGAGCATAAGAAGCGGCTGGATTGAGCAATACATTGCCTGTCTACCTGGGGATAAATCTGCAGCTAGGATCTGGACATGTTGCTTTTCATTGGTAAGGTGAGTGTACAGTGTGTCTGGTGAACACTGAAGGGCATGGTATCCACCTGCAGCGAATACAGGTCCAACCAGCGTGGGAGATATGCTGCATGTAGGATAACGGTGTTGAAGAAAGCAGTCTCAACACGAGCGGAAAGGTTTCGATGCTTTCTGCTTGAGTGATGCTGGTGGGTGGTACCAGATGCGGCTAGATGTTAAGCACTCGCTAATCGTTCCTGCGCCATCCAAAGACGTCACGTGAACGCGTGAATGGCTGCCTCGCGACGCGCCCAAGGTTCTACCCCGCAACAGAACAGTTGTGATACGTAGACTGCTTCACAAGATTTCGCCACAAAGGGGTCGCTTGTTCTCCTTGCTTTGCTCTTTCACGAAACTTTACACCAATTTGCCACTGGGGCCGTGAGGGCGCGATCGATTCGACGTTGGTGAATCGCTCGGCACGCGAAAGCCAGGGGTACATCTTGTTAATCTTACCCTCGATACTCTACATTATTCATCGACTGTTTTAGTGTGGCCGGGCTTTGTTAACTCCATTGCACTTTGGTTAAGACTCTCACTCGCAACTGCTCTCCTGGTCCTCTCACTATCACCTGGCACACAAACCACTCTTTCATCCTTACGCTGCCGCCACTGTCAACTCACCTCTCACTCTCACCATCAGAATGGCGCCGAGACGGTCAACTCGCAACTCTGCAGTGGGCCCATCCAACGAGGCATTTACATTTCCGTCTCCAGCACCAACGACCAGTACGTCCATTTTCATCCACTCGTTCACTTTAGCGCTCCCGCTTTTTCCGGCTATTCATTGCTGACCTGATGGAAGATTCTGCTGTAGATTTGCCAATGGCCGAGATTCGCCACACCCAGAGGCGCACCCGCTCTTCTCGCGCCGCTATACCGAAATCCTCTGACGATGAGGATGCCACAATCACAGTTGAGGCACCGACAGAATCAGCCCGGAAGGTGCTCAAATCAGTCTCCATTCCCAGAATGCACACGAAGAAGGCAGTTTTCAGTCGAGGGAGGCTGTCGGCAGCGAGTGCAATACAAACAGAGCAGGAGAGCTCACATGAACCGCCTTCCGTTGAAAACTCAGACTACGAGACACCAGGAACCAGCATATCTACTACGCCTGCTGCGTCCACATGTCGTGGCAAGACCTCTGCCCGTAGCGGCCTCAGCCAGAGCGTAGACACATTGTTGACTAGCTCCACCGCCTCGAAGCGCTCACAAAACACAGTGTTGGACTCAAATGGCGAAGACGAGGCAATTGATCTGGATGCTGAGCTTGCTTTACAAATGCAACTGGAAGATGAGGAAGCAACACAACACCTGATGCCCAGTCGGAAGCGTCAGAAGATTGAATCGGAGGACGAAGATATGTCATCGCTTGATGTGCCCCTAGTGTCATCATCTAGGAGTAAGGCAGCTTTATATAAAGGCAAAGGCAAAGGCAAGGCTGAGGTAGAGGAGATCGATTCCGGTACTAGTAGCGATTCTCTGATGGAAGAGGTATCACTACCTACTTACACTGGCAAAGGCAAAGGTAAAGCCAAGGCCGAGACCCCAAAAATGCGCCATGGCCGTCCTGCTCGATTAAGTGTACTCAAGAAGAGCCCATTTTTCAAAGACGAACATGTATCTTTGGTGGATGACGAATCAGACGGTGGCAAGCTTATACTGAGTGATCCAGACGATCTGGAATCTTTCCTGGATGATTATGAAACGCCGATCGCAAGCGATGAAGATGAGCCTCCCATGGCTACAAGTGGGCTGGTTGCAAGTGAGCGCTCCAAGAAGGCGGCGACGGCACTGAAAAGGACGCCAAAGACGGCCCCACGCAAAAAAACACTCACGCGTGCCGACAAGGACGAAGCGAACAGTCGACGCAGACGATTCGCACACATAAGGGACAAATGGGAGCGTAAGCGAGCAATGAACCGGGAACGAGCTGAGCATCAGCATCCAAAGCTGCGAACCATGTGGGATGATCTCAAGAAAATTCCAGTCTTGGAGACGCAAATGGCTGAGCAGCCTACCTCAATCAACCGAAGACTGAAACCTTTTCAATTAGAGGGTCTCAGTTGGATGATACGTCAGGAAAAGACTCACTACAAGGGAGGGCTTCTCGGTGATGAAATGGGAATGGGCAAGACAATACAGGCTGTGTCCCTGATCATGTCGGACTATCCGGCAAAACAGCCTACACTGGTTTGCGTACCTCCCGTTGCTCTCATGCAGTGGTCCAACGAGATTCGCGAGTACACGGACAACAAACTCAAGGTTCTTGTGTACCACGGCACCAATGCCAAGTGCAAGAAGATGTCTGTAAAGGAACTCAAGTCTTACGACGTCATTATGGTCTCCTATAACAGTCTCGAATCTCTTCACCGTAAGGAGACTAAAGGCTGGTCCCGTGGAGAGGATATCATCAAGGAAGCATCCGCACTACACGCCATCCACTACCACCGCCTCATTCTTGACGAAGCACATAGCATCAAGTCTCGCAACACTGGTGTCGCCAAGGCTTGTTTTGCTCTCACGAGTAATTACAAGTGGTGTCTTTCTGGTACGCCGGTGCAGAACCGCATTGGAGAGTTTTTCTCACTACTGCGCTTTCTCGAAGTCCGCCCATTCGCCGACTACTTCTGCCGTTCTTGCGATTGTGAGAAGCTACATTGGGCCGTGGACGACGACTACATGTGTGTGGCTTGTAACCATGGTGCATCCGAGCACATCTCCGTATTCAATCAGGAGCTGCTCAATCCGATTACAGGTGAGGATGTGGAACTCCGCGAGCAGGCATTAGCCAAGCTTCATTTGATCACCGCTCGCATCATGTTGCGCCGGATGAAGCGTGATCATACCAACTCCATGGAGCTTCCGATGAAAGATATCATTATTCACAACGAGTTCTTCAGCGAAGTTGAACGCGACTTCTCCACCTCGATCATGTCGAACTCCTCGCGCAAGTTTGATACCTATGTTGCACAGGGTGTCATGCTCAACAATTATGCCAACATCTTCGGTCTCATTATGCAGATGCGTCAAGTCGCCAATCATCCCGATCTGCTGCTCAAAAAGACTGCCGTGGAAGGCAGCGGCAATGTGTATGTATGCAACATCTGCGATGAGCCGGCTGAAGATGCAGTCCGATCGCACTGTCGCCATGAGTTTTGCCGTGCTTGTATCAAGGACTTTATGGACACGTGCGAGGCCTCTGGCACAGAAGCAGATTGTCCTCGCTGCCATCTTGCTCTGGCCATTGATTTTGAGCAACCGGAGCTGGAGCAGGACGAAGATTCTGTCAAGAAGACATCGATCATCAACCGTATCAAGATGGAGAACTGGACATCTTCTACCAAGATCGAAATGCTGGTTTATGACCTATACAAGCTGCGCAGCAAGAAGCAGACACTTAAATCTATCGTGTTCAGCCAATTCACTTCGATGTTGCAGCTCATTGAGTGGCGACTTCGTCGCGCTGGCTTCAACACGGTCATGCTTGACGGAAGCATGTCGCCGGCTCAGCGGCAGAAGAGCATCGATCACTTCATGACGAATCCAGATGTCGAAGTGTTCTTGGTATCTCTCAAAGCTGGTGGTGTTGCCCTCAACCTTACCGAAGCCTCCCGAGTCTTTATCGTTGACCCGTAAGTTCCTCTACAAACTAACGTCAGGCTCACATTGCTAATTCTTTCTCACAGATGGTGGAATCCAGCCGCGGAGTGGCAGTCTGCCGACCGATGCCACCGCATTGGTCAGAAACGGCCTTGTGTCATTACGCGTCTTTGCATCGAAGATAGTGTGGAGTCCCGTATGGTTGCGCTTCAAGAGAAGAAGGCAGCCATGATTGCCGGAACAGTCAACAACGACAAGGTCGCCATGGATCGCTTGAGCCCTGAGGACTTGCAGTTCTTGTTCCGAGGTAGTTAGAGGCCGACTGTGCCGACTCCCAGACGAGTAATGTGTATTGTTGGGATGCTCGGGTATGGCGTTTGGCAGGGACTCTTTTGTTTGTTTAAATTACACCACGCATGATAAAGTCGGAGTCCGCACAGGACGGCTTTGTTCTTCTTGGAGTTCGGCCATCTTCGGCGACACGATCAGTGGCGTTAATACAATGGGAGATGCGTAGGATCAGCCAACATACAGATCAATAGCAATCTGTAGATTTTCATGATTCACAATCGGATAATGAGCATGCATAAAATTTTCCGTACTCGCTTTGTATTGCGTTGTAGCCAACCTGTAGAGTACCAGATGTTGAAAGTGGGAGATGCCAAATCCAAATGACGTAGCAAAGCTGTAGATCGCAAGGCTACTACCCCGGATTTGCGGGTAGCTCGCTGCGTTGTCCACCACCAGACCGGCTGGCGGACCATCACCGTCGAGATGGCAGCGCACTACGCTCAATCTACTTCTCGACTACGACATCTAAAGTAGTCGGCTATGCTAGTCTTTATCCTGACAAAAACTCAACAAGCCTAACACTCTTCGATGCGCAAACCACGGGAAAAAAAATTATCAGTAGCATGCATGCGGCTAATGCCCTGACCGGTGCAGCACGGTATCACGTTCGTACTCGTCTAGGTACAGCATCAGCAGACGACACGAGCTCTTCATACCATTTGCCCGAATGCAGAGGATGGAATTCCCCCATCTCCGAAGACCATATAATGGATATATACAGCGATCCGCGGAAACCGTGGAGATGCGGTGCTGTCGTTGGTTACTCGTACGTAATCTTACGTAAAGTCAGGTAACGTTGTGGCTTCTGAAATTGCCATTCGTCATTTAGCGCGCGTGTTACACTTTGTTCGCTGTGAAGCGGTTGCAGCCGTGTCTGTGATTTTTTTTTGGTTTTCTTGGAAGGGATGACATGGTCGGGCGGTACTCTACCCGTAGTTTGGCTGCGGTTGGGACGGCGGAGAATGGCGTAAGAAGGGGGTTGGATTTTCCGTAGTGGCAGAAGGATGGGGTATAGGGTGAAGGGCCGTTACCGCTATAGCCGGCATGGGCGATTTATTTTGGGGTGTAATTGCGGTGACGGCTGGGTGTAGTATCGTCTTATATATGCTTGGACTGGTCCTAGCACCTGGGGTGTGCGTTGTGTTTTGCCGCGTTCTCGTTGCATCGCTGGTGTATATCTGCCTGTATTGTGTAGATATAGTCTGGACTCTGATATACCGGACTTGGTCGATCAGTATTCATCCGCGATGGGGGTTCTTGAGAACGCCCGAGAGTGGGACCTTGATCTTGATCGCTATCTCAATCGCAGCATACCACCTTCGCCGTTACATAAGCTTCCTACGCCCGTGTCAAGATTTTTGGGATACAGGAAGGAGCAGAGACAAGATGTTGGAAATGTTTGCGGAGCATTCTGGTCGTTCGTTGGCGCGTTCTGCGGCTTGGCCGTGATTGCAGCAGTCTTCAACAATACCCAGAGCATACTGTGGCATTCCCCTCCTGCGTTGATCGCATCCTTTGTAAGTTGTCTTGGATGGCCATCCAGTGTGTGTCTCGGTTGCTGAATAGGGTGCTACAGGGTGCATCAGCAATACTAGAATACAACACGATCCGCTCACCTCTCGGCCAACCTCGTAACGCCCTTCTGGGGCACACCTTCTCCGCACTCGTTGGCGTTGGGATATCCAAGATCTTTCAAATGCACTCGGACTACGACTCGATACGATGGATCGCTGGCGCTGTAGCATGTGGTATTTCATCAGCAGTCATGCTCCTCACTGGTACTGTGCATCCGCCCGGTGGTGCCTCTGCAGTCCTAGCAGCAACGGAGCCTGTCATCACAGCCATGGGTTGGTACTTTGTAGGACTCGTGGTGTGGGGCACAACGCTGATGCTGATTGTCGGACTGTTCATCAACAACATTCAGCGTCAGTTTCCACTGTACTGGTGGACGCCTCTTGATGTTCGCAAGGCGAAGCGCTTGGACGAAGAGACTGTACCTGACGCACGGGGTGGGATAGAACGGCGTGAGAGCCAGTATGAGCAACACTACGGTCGAAATGGAGAGAAGATTGAAATCAGTGGTGCGGAAGTCGTATTGCCAGAAGATCTAAGTCTGAACGAAGAGGAAGTAAGAGTACTCGAGAATTTGAGAGAGAGACTGAGGAAGCGCGTGGATGCGGGAAGTCCAAAGGAATTGAGAGATTTGGAGAAGAAGGAAGCAGGAAGTGCAAGGAGTAGTGCTGAATGCACCATGGTACCTAGTCGTAGTCGTGGGAGCAGTCGAGATGGTATGCCTGCATAGTCGGGTAGCGTTATCATGAGGCGATAGGTGGGTAGTCTACTCTACCGGTGATGGATAGATAAGCAAGCATGACAATGTCAGCATTTCCGAGGAGTCCTAGCCACATGAGATGCTGCAAATGACTCCAGATGTCGGGTGTGAGTCTAAGGAGTACTGCACTCTTGTGGCTTGCCTGCGTACTATGTTCATCTTGCCCTGAGCATGAAACCGCGAATCTAGAGTAGGAGAGCGATGTTCGTGAAACACCATGGATGGTTACGTCATGTCATCTATATGCCATCTGATTGGCGGTAACATGGTTCCCAAGGTGGTCATTGGCTGTTGCGCATGCAGTCGCTCGCTCGCCCGCTCGTTCGCCACAGGGAAAGAAAATTGGGCATTCACTGGGCTGGGGCGGCTGGGCTGAGAGGCTCACTACTCTACCCATGGTTTGGCCAACTCCCAACATTCTTCTTTTGACTAGGTTGACTAGACATCTTCGACCTGGCACCTCACCCATTCTCTTCCCTTGCGTCTTGCATGTCTACTTGAGAGTCGTCTTTCTTCCTTTGCTACCCGCATCTGTACTGCTATCGATAAGGAGTGGGCTTAGCGGCGGGGTCAGGTTTCATTCAACCCATCCCCCAAAAATTTCCTCACTCTTCTCACCACCCCCAACACCTCCCTCACCACTCTACAACCATGGTCTCCGCATCCAAAGCCGCCCGTGAGGCCAAGCGCGCCGCAGACCCCAACGCAAAGCCCAAGAAGTCGGCCGCGTCGAAGCTATCGTCAAAGGCCAACTCGAAGAACGCCTCTACTGCCTCGTCGGTGAATGGTGACGCTGCCGAGGATCTCGAACTGAACGAGGAAGTCAAGAATCTCACTCTCCAAAAAGATAAGCACGGTCTGTCGGATCGTGTGACGACGGGTGTGCTCGCCTCGCTACCGCAGTCTCGCGATGTCAAGATCATTTCCGCATCGCTGGTCTTCCACGGCAAGGTCCTCTTCAACGATGCTACCATCGAAGTCAACTATGGCCGCCGATATGGTCTGTTGGGTGAGAACGGTTGCGGAAAGACGACCCTGCTCAAGGCCATCGACGCGCGCGAGTTCCCCTTCCCCGACCACATCGACATCTACCTGCTGAACCAGGGTGCTCCCAAGACTGAGTTGGGTGCCTTGGAGTGGGTGGTCCGTGAGGCCGAGAATGAACTGGCCCGCCTGGAGAAGCTCGCTGAGACGATTCTCGAGAACGACGGGCCTGAGAGTCCGCTCCTCGATGACATTTACGAGGTATGCATCACTGAATCCCCTTGCCGTAAGCACGACTAATGCCCAACAGCGTCAAGAAAGCATGGATCCATCCACCTTCCACACTCGCGCCTCGCTCATTCTCACTGGTCTCGGTTTCAACAAGGTCACCATCCACAAGAAGACCAAGGACATGTCCGGAGGATGGCGCATGCGTGTCGCCCTCGCAAAGGCCCTCTTCGTCAAGCCTGCGCTGCTGTTGCTCGATGACCCAACCGCCCATTTGGATCTCGAGGCCTGTGTGTGGCTCGAGGAGTATATGAAGAAGTGGGATCGCACTCTCATCCTCGTCTCTCACTCCATGGACTTTCTCAACGGTGTTTGCACAAACATGATCGACATGCGTCAAAAGAAGCTCCTCTACTACGGAGGTAACTACGACACATACCACAAGACTCGTAACGAGCAGGAAGTCAACCAGACCAAGGCCTATGAGAAGCAGCAAGAGGAAATTAAGCACATCAAGAAATTCATTGCTTCCGCCGGTACCTACGCCAACTTGGTCAGGCAGGCCAAGTCTCGTCAGAAGATCCTCGACAAGATGGAGGCTGATGGTCTCATCGAGCCTGTTGCCCAAGACCGCATCTTCACTTTCCGCTTCGCTGATGTCGAGAAGCTACCCCCTCCAGTACTGTCACTCGACAATGTTACCTTCTCTTATTCTGGTAAACCCGAGGACAATCTATATGAGAACCTCGACTTTGGTGTCGACATGGACTCGAGGACTGCGCTCGTCGGACCCAATGGTGTCGGCAAGTCAACTCTCCTTAACATCTTCACTGGCAAGCTCAGCCCTACATCTGGCGTTGTCTCGCGCCACACCCACTTGAAGCTCGGTGTATACAGTCAACACTCGGCTGAACAGCTCGATCTTACCAAGTCGGCGCTGGACTTTGTCCGGGACAAGTTCCACCACATCAGCCAAGATCTCCAGTACTGGCGCCAACAACTCGGTCGCTACGGTATGACTGGTGAGGCGCAAACATCCAAGATGGCCACCCTTTCGGACGGTCAGAAGTCTCGTATTGTCTTCGCCTTGTTGGCTATCGAGGGACCAAACATGTTGCTTCTTGACGAGCCTACCAACGGTCTCGATATTCCCACCATTGACAGTTTGGCGGATGCCATCAATGCTTTCAGCGGAGGTGTCGTCGTCGTGTCCCACGACTTCAGGTATGTTTTACTTCCCTCTGATCCAGTACGGTCCGCGCTAATCATTCTTAGATTGCTCGACAAGATCGCAAAAGACATCATGGTGTGCGAGCACAAGACGGTCCGTCGGTGGGATGGCAGCATCGCCGAGTACAAGAACCATCTCCGTAAGAAGATGTCGTCAACTGGTGTTCTTGCTTAGATGGGGGTTGGGTTTTCTTAAAAGGTTGCATGCATGTTCTAAGCTGCGGGACATTGGTGAAAGCAAAAGTAATGGCCTCATAGCAGGGTTCAGGATACCATCTGCATTAGGCTGGCAGCACCGCAGAACCTGCTCCAGTGTTTCCCTTGATGGGTGGAGACGTCTGGATTCTGCATCACGATGCATTGGGTTTTAGAGGAGTTTTAGATTTGAATTACGACCAGAATGATATCATCAAAAGAGTGACACTGCTATGAACGTTTGTTGTGCACTGCCTAGTTGGTAGGGAGGGGTGTGGCGGCTCCTTTGCACGTGCCGAATGGTGAGCTGGGAGCTGTGACGAATGCATTCCCCGCAAGCTTGCCCTCCGAGCCTAGCTCCCGTCGTTAACCCATGCCTGATGACCATCTTTTGACATCCACATCCCATCCATGTGCATCTGGAAGGCTTGAGAAGTCACTTGACAGCTTTCTGATACTCTACGATCGTTATCTTGACCACAATGGCGGAGCTCACAAGCACGAAGCTGAATGCAGAGTCGCATTTACTGCTCGTAGGCTATACACTCTTCTCGCCGTTCAACTCCCAAGGGCTTTCTACTCACACTCAACATAGGACCAACCACTCCTTCGCATGCCCTACGAGCTCTCCCGGCGCAACTTCAAAAACGCCCAGCGTGTCATCGAACACACATCCACATCCTTGACCTCCACCCTCAGCAGCACCACCAAAGCCGTATCGAAGCCCACAACGAAGCCCGATACGACGCTCGACGCCCTCGACTCGATGATAAGCAAAATGCAAGGACTCAAGCGCAAACTCGAAGTCCTCCACGACGAGGAACAAAAGATCCATCGCGCAGCCAAGGCACGCCTCAAACACCTCCAAGACCTCTACGAGATACAAAGTCTAGTCGACGTGCGCTACGACGAGTGGAGTCGCACCCGGCTCTCCCGCTTACTGGTAGACTGCTTGCTCCGCGAAGGCTACACCGAGTCGGCAACGCACCTGGCGCAGAGCAAAGGCATCACCGAGCTCGTCGACGTCGAGCCCTTTATCGCATGCCACAAAATTGAGCGGAGTCTGAAGGAGGGCATGACGACGAGTCTGGCGCTCGAGTGGTGCAAGGAACATGGCAAGGAGCTGAAGAAGGGGGCGAATATGTTGGAGTTTGAACTTCGCTTGCAGCAGTATATTGAGCTTGTGAGGCAGGGGCATGAGGCGGGTGTCAGTGGCATGGATGGCTTGGAGATGGAGGATGGCATGCATGGGGTTAGCATTGGGGGTGGGGGCGGCGAGATGAAGTTGGTCGAGGCGCGCACACATGCGAAGAAGTATTTGAGTTCGAGTGGCGATTTTGAGCTGTTGCGACGGGCGGCAGGGCTGTTGGCCTATAGGCCGTGGGATGAGGTGGAACCTTATGCGGTATGTCTTCTTTGTGCACTCTGTTTGGGTTTTGTTGGCAAAGAGGAGATGGCTAATCTGGGGAAACAGTCACTTTATTTGCCAGCAAGGTGGACACATTTGGCCAATCTATTCATAACCACACATCACAGCTTGTATTCTCTACCTCCGAGACCACTTCTACACATTGCCCTATCGGCCGGTCTATCCGCTCTCAAGACACCGGCCTGTCACTCGGCGTTTACCTCGTCTTCGGCCAACGCTTCGTCATCCACCACGACCGTCTGCCCCATCTGCAGCACCGAGCTCAACGAACTCGCCCGCAACGTGCCTTATGCCCTACACACCAAGAGTATCGTGGAGAATGATCCGGTCGCGTTGCCCAATGGACGGGTATACGGAAGCGAGAAGTTGAGGATCTTCAATGAAAAGGTCGGGACCGAGAAGGGCTGGGTTCGAGATCCGGTGCATGGCATCAGCGGAGAGGTGTGGAAGGAGAGCGAACTACGCAAGGTCTATGTCATGTAGATTCGCTCCCGGTCGTTTTATTTTCGTTGTGTTGCAGAAAGTTTGGGTCCTGCATTGTGTATAGCGTGGCGTTTGGTATATTTTGTCTTGCCCCGGCGATGGCATAGTAGGCTATTCATGAGATGACAATGAGCATGTCGTGCACCTCTTCCACGCCCATTTCAAGTTTCCTCGTCCTCGTCCTCCTCTCTCGCCCTCTTCGCCGCCAGCTTTTGTGAAGGCAACGGTCCACCCCGCGCATTCCTCGCCATCTTCTGCATCTCCTTCTCCTCGTCCTCATCCGCCACCAACGGAATCTTCTCAAACACATACATTCTCGCATCCCTATCCTCACCCCTCCACCCACCCCCTCCCTCAATCGCCCCCAGCGTCCTCATATGCGTGTACCCGGGATACTGACTGGCGTCAAACTTCCAGCTCTCGACCACCTTGAGCCCCGCATGGCGTGCCAGATCGCGAATATTCCAGAGCGTGTAGGGTTCGCCTTCGAAGAGGGTGACGATGATTTTACCACCCATGCGTAAAAAGGGGCGGGGACGGGGGAGGGCGGGGTTGGCCTGTGCCTGGAGGAGCTGCAGGCGTTTCTTGGGCGTCGAGCAATCGAGGCAGGCTTTGAAGAAGGCGACGAGCAGGGCTTGGTTGCTGCGGACTTGGCGGTTGACATTGGTGCTGAGTCCGCCCGTGTGGGGGAATTGAAAACATATGATATCCCAGCCTTCTGCCCTCTTGCCCGCTCCCCCTGTCCTCTCGCCGTCTACAGCAATATCCGCATCGTCGGGATCGGCGTCGTCGTCGCTATCGCGTTGGCAGCGCAGTGTCTTGTAGGAGTTGAGTTTTGTGGCGTCGATGCCATGGTAAATGGGAACCGGGGGTGTCAGGCTGCTCAATTCCCGCGCGATTCCTTCAAACGATGGATATTTTTCCCGTACTTCTTCTTCCGTGTCGAAGCTCGTAGCTACTACATTGGCACACCCATGCTCAACCACCAAGCTTCTCGTGAAACTGAAGTCGCCTTCGCCCACGAGGAGAATGTGCTGGTATGGCCCAAAGGGTACGGCGTGTTTCTGCGATGCCTGAACAGGCGGCTTCGTTACTATGCCGGCTGCGTCTTGTTTTGATTCTGCGCTGCTTGCGCCCGTCTTTTGCTTCTTTGCGGAACTGGGCTTGGAGGAAGGTTTGGCGGCGGTGGCGGCCGTTTCGGCAGCTTTGGCGACTTTGCGGTGGTGTGCGGCGATTTTGCGGTCCCCGTCTCGTTTGAGTTCGCGGCGTGCGCGTTTGGTCTTCGTCTTGGACATTGCCTTGGGTGGTATGGGATGATATCAAGCCACTGCCAGAATGCCTGCTCGGAGGTTTGCGGGGAACTTTACTTTTGGGGGGGAAAATGTTTGAGCTTGGACCAACGCCGGCAGGGATGCTAGCAGATATCTGTGCATGTGAAGCCTCAGAAAACGTGGCTGACTATTTAGCGTACAACGACAAATTTCGCAGCATGAGGGGCACGGTACAGCCATGCTAAGATGCGCACGCAATACCAATGGTTGCGGATTTGAATTGCTTTAGTTTGACCAAATATACAATAAACGGCCTCGTCACAATGCTGCTGCAGTCCTCGGAGCCCCAAGCAGTCGCTTTCACTCGCTCGCAGTCGTCTTTGATGCATCCATAACTAACAATCCTCGATCTTGCCACTTAGATCAAGTCGCGCTTGACAAACTGATCGTACAGGGTGGAACCAAGTTTGGCGGGCGAGCGCTCCACAACGACACCAGCAGCCTCCAAAGCATTGATCTTCGAATTAGCGTCGCCCTTTCCACCACTGACAATAGCACCCGCGTGACCCATTCTCCTGCCTGGTGGCGCAGAGATACCAGCAATGAAGCTAACGACGGGCTTATTGGCAGTATTGTACTCCTTCAAGAAGTCGGCGGCATCCTCTTCAGCCGAGCCACCGATTTCTCCAATCATAATGATGCCGTCAGTCTCCTCATCCTGGAGGAAGACCTTCAAGCAATCAATGAAGTTGGTTCCGGAGAAGGGGTCACCTCCAATACCGACGACAAGCGATTGGCCAAGTCCGGCTTGGGTGGTCTGGTTGACAGCCTCGTATGTGAGGGTTCCGGAGCGGGAGACGATACCGACACGGCCGCGCTTGTGAATGAAGCCAGGCATGATACCAATTTTACATTGACCCTAGGATCTGTCAGCGACATCGACTGGCATTGCATTGTGGTGGGGTTGGCCTACGGGAGCGATGATACCAGGGCAATTGGGTCCAACCATGCGAGACTTGTTTTGCGACTTGAGCATGTCTGTGATGCGAACCATGTCTATAACGGGTCAATTTCCAAGCCAGTACCACGTATGTGCATTCTGTCCTTACCATGTTGTGGAATACCTTCTGTGATGCTGCCCAATGTAAGCTTCTATGGACTTCAAAGTTGATAAGCATACCTACGTCACAATCAGAGGGACTTCTGCAGCAATGGCCTCCTCGATACTCGCCGCAGCGACTGGCGGTCTGGCACATGGTTAGTTTTCTTTGCGCCCAACATGGATGTGGGCGGTGCCATACGGGACGAAAATGGCCGTGGCCGTGGCTTGTGTCTCTTTGATGGCCTCGGCCACGTTCTTGAAGACGGGCAGGCTCAAATGCTGGGTGCCCGCCTTCTTAGGATTGGTGCCTCCGACAACTTTGGTGCCTGCGATCTGTGTCAATTGCTGTTCCCCGTCGACAATAACAGACGCAGCGCGATTGGGCGCATACCGTATTCGATGGCTTGTTGTGCGTGGAAGCTGTCTGGTGGTCAGCTCTGGCCCTCAAATACCCCGCACCGCATCGTGTACTCACGTTCCCTGCTTTCCAGTGAAGCCCTGGAACAGCACCTTCGTCTCGCTGTTGATGCGGAGGTTCTTGATCGTCTCCGCATACTGCGACGAGCTGGTCGCATACTGCCTCGTCGCGGCCTTGGAGAGCGCAGAGCGCATGGGCTGTCGGATTGCCTGCATCGTGACTAGGAGGCGGTCACGAAAGCAAAGCTGGCGGTATAGGGCGGAGTAGATTGTCGTTGAGCAGCGGGTTGTGGAAGGGCCTGGCTGTAGCGTAAGTAGCGAACAGGAAGCTGCGACACGGCGGCTTTTCTTCGGGGGACTTGACCAATCACCGAATATCTTTGCAAACCTCCGTCCGCGCCCGACAACACCACGAAAATGCATCGCTCTTTTATATACCGCAATGTCCCCGTAACGGCCGTTTTTTCTCTAGTTCATCTATTCTATCAGGATGAGAAAAGATTCTATTGTGACAGAGTTGCTTTAGATAAGCTTAAAGTCATCTTGAAGACAAAGGACTTTTGGAAGGATAAGAGTCGTTGTTGAAAGTTCCACCGCTGGGATGTCAAAGTAATTTGAGACGTGTTAGTGGGGTGTGTCTTGAGCTGAAGGGATGGAGAATGTCATGTCTTTTGAAAATACATTGTGCGTGACAAACTCCTTTAATATACCTTCGTTTCCAACTAGATGACCGCTAACGAAGAAACAAGGTAATGGATCAATGGGTATGGGATAACAGGGTACATTGTTAGGTACCACGAAACCGTCACAAGAAGCAGCATCGCTACCAAAACAACCCGCTTTATTATATTTGACCCCCAAAAAACTTGCCATTACTCACTCCCAGTTCCCATCACGGCGGCGCAACACGCTTACACTTCTTCACCCTCCTCTTCTCCTTGGGCCGCGGCCTGTCTTCCGTCTTAGCCTTCCTGTCCCTACTCACACATTTCTTCGTCCCGCAATAGCAAATCTTATTCGACTCGGGTCCATAGTACGACAGCCCATAGCTGACAGTGAGCTCGACGCCGGCGGGTATATTGCGAATAGCTTCCACCGTCATAATTCTCATCATACCGACACGACGGACGCGGAAATCGCAGTGCGGTGCGCAGGAATGGTTGATGAAACGTGTCCAGTTGCCGTTTTTCTCGCCGTCGATCATGACTGTTTCCTCGACGGGTGCGATGGAGGGAGCCTTGGAGGACTCGGAGCAGGATGAGCCATAGCCGCTGTCGGAATCGGAACCTGCATTTTCTTGGTCCATGTCTTCTTCGGACTTGCCGATTGGGATTTCCATGAGGTAGGCGTTGTCGAACCGACTGCTCTCGCTGGGCATGATCTCGCCTGCGTACCAGCCGAGGACGTCGTCCTGCTTGAAGGCTCGTTTCGTGTAGACTCCAATGCCACGGTCTTTTGTTTTTCGTAATTCAAAGTACTTCTGCCAATCTTGCGTTGCTTGCTTCCAGTTTTTGAATGTGTGGTCGCAGTATGGCTCTTCACAGACGTCGTCGGTATAGCAACGATCGCCAACACAGCTGTTGAATTCGTAGCCTACCGCATGGAGGATGTCCTGAGCTGTTTGGGGCGGCCATGAGCCGCCTGGGGGAAACGTGGCTGGATAGGGGTGATTTGCGAAAAGGCTAGGGTCGAGCGTGTAGTCGTTAATATGTCGCGGAACTTCGGAGTTCGTGCTGCTACAAGTTGCAAGGCGATCAACGCCATCGGTGGAAGTACACCAGAAGTAACTACTCTGACTTCGTAATGCCCTGGCAGTTTTGCGTGAGGGTTTTTGGACCTGTTTTGTTACACCTGCAGGCTGCTTTGCTGCAGATCTGCGTGATTGGTGAGTAGTGGTGGTAGAGCGCATGATGCTGCACAGGTTTGGAATAAGAGTGAATGCAGGGGTGGCGAAAGTATTGGTAGACGCGAAGAGAATCTGCTTGGGATCGATGGGAAAGAGCGTTTGAGATGATTGGAAAGAGCGTTTTTTTTTCTGGATGGAAACAGGGCCCTTCAAGAGCAAATAAACTCACGTCTGCTTCGCGAAATGCTGCAAGACAACAATCGCATTGTGAGAAGGGTGCACAACAAAGCCGCCACGGCTATAGAGATCAAAGGTGCAAGACATCACAATTGTACTTGAGACAACAAAGAAGTCGGACTCAACTGCCTTGTCTGCGGGCACAAGGTAGGAAGGCCTAGAGCAGGCGGTTGGTGAATCCTCTCAGAAGTTACAGTTTCTTGGTAGACGTTATACAGATATACTCTTCTAGTCGTTCAGCTTGCCATAGAACGGCAGGCCTATTGCTTGTAGTAGTAAACGAGCCTCTTTGTTGTTCGTGGCGTCTGTACCGATGGTAACATGGCAACCAGGAATCATCTTGGGAGGATATCTGTCTTTTGTTAGCGTGTGGGTGGGCAATGGCCAAGTATAGACATTACATACGCGTCGTAGTTGACCTCTATTTCGGGGAACAAAGCCACTTGATCTGGCGTGAGACCAAAGCTCATGTTGCCATGACCGTCTCCCGATGAGCCTGGCACGCCCTTCCACTCTTTGATTCTGGGCAAGACGACGTCGATGAACTTGGCCAGAAAGTCTTGCCCATCCTCTCGCTCCAGCGCGACCGTGGCGGAGACGTATCGGCCTTCCCGTAGGCCCCAGCCGACGACATTGTGTCTCGCCTTGTGCGACACGGCACGCACGTTGCTGATTGCCTGCAAGATCATGCCAGCCACGTGAAGGTGGGCGCTGTTCTCTTGGGCTTCGGGCACCATGGAGTGAATGGTGACTTTGGTGATTCTGGGAATGTTGCGGAAGGTGCGTGGCGGGGTGAGCAAGCGCAGCACCTCGCCCTTTCCTCGTGGCGGCCGCAGCGGGCGGTTCTTGTAGTATGGCGAGTCACCTGTCCATTCTCGCAGTCTCTGCTCCGTCTTGGGCGCTCTGAAGCCAGGAGGATAGTGCTGATAAGTGAGGGTAAGCAGGTCGGCGGCAATGGTACTTTGGTATGTCTGCTCCAGGCGGGGCAGGCTGAAGGGGCCCGGTTGGAATTCGCGAGACGACGGGTCTGACTTGGGCGGGGGCTGATGGGGATGCAGCGGGCCACGGTAGTATTTGGGCGAGCGATATTGGTACCTGAGTGAATGTTGTGAGCCCCGGTGTGCTGTGAGGGTCTCTTTGCAGTATAACCCCATCATGGACCGGTCGTGCGCTTGACGGACCTTTGC